CATTGTACAAATAGTTTTTTGTACAAAACTTTTATTGTTCAACTAATAATAATCGTTGCTGCTGGTAGAAAAGAATTGGGTGTTGTTTTGTGAAGCTGTTAGTAGGGCCTAATTAGCACCACACCCCTCTAGAAGTTTCTCACCCCCCTACAAACGGTTTACCTGAGCCCCCTCTAGACGTATGGTTAGATAGGCTGAGCCACCTCTACAACTTTTTTCTGGCGATGCCACTACTCCTCAGGTCGATGTCGGATTCGTTCTGGCAACGCCCGAAAAGAGAAGCTTTGACAATAGGCAAACAATCGCTAATAATGAACAGAGTGCTTCGTGAACTTGGAAAAGACAAGACGATCCATGTCACACATTCTGACAACGGTAAGGGGGTTGTTATCATGCACATATGTGACTACGATAAAAAAATGAATGACAGATTGAATGATGCATCAACATTTCGCCCTGTTGATGGAGATCGGACCTTGATCAAAGAAGATAATCTGATTTGAACAGACACGTTTTTCCATACGGGTATGGAAAAATGTGGCTTCATTTCTCCGGATGAATATCGACGCTTTCGACCTCGAGGCTCACATCCTGCAAGAACATATGGCCTTCCTAGAATTCATAAGAAGAATATTCCGTTAAGATCGATAGTCTCGGGACCAGGAAGTTATAATCTTGGCATTGATAAAATGCTGGTATTGCGCTTCGATCATCTTCGAAAAAGCAAATTCGGAGTCAAAGACACGTTTGATTTTATAAATTTCATTAAGAAATTGCCACCACCTATGGCAAAACACAAAATAATATAATTAATAAATAATAAAATAATAAAACTTCATTTGACGTCACTAGTCTATTTACAAAGGTTCCACTGCAATACACCATAGATTATATATTAAATCAGCTATATGGTAAACAGCATGGTTGTGGTGTTAAAAAACCGTAAGTAAAAAGGGAGAATTGATGCAACAATTGATTAGATCGGTTTGATATGAATTGTCTTCTATAGAAGGCCACTACAGACACTCATTTTTCATTCAGTGGCCGGATGTATGAACAATTTAATGGAGTATCTATGGGGTCGCCTCTCGCTCCAATAGTGACAGACATATTTATGATTAGATTGGAAAACACAGCGTATTCAAAATTAAAAGGTGTCGGAGTTACGGCGATATGAAGAAAATCATAACATTTGACATGACATCAGTCCAGGAAAAGAGTTGCATACACTATAGATGCAGTGAATCTCGGCGAACGTTTTGGTGCAATTCTGAGTTTGATTCGACGTTGGATGTTGGTGGATACCTTACTGCAATTCAAGCAAGGTACCGGAAATTCAATGAGAAAAAACTTTTTTCTGGTTGTATCATACATCATTAGAAAGAGCGCATCGAGCTGAGTAAGAAAAACCTGGTTTTAGCTCTCCAAAACACTATTTTTATGTCGAAAAATCCTTAAAACTTGAATGGTCCACTTTTCAAAAGTAAATGTTTTTGCTATTCTAGCAAAGAGTTAAAAATAAAATCTGGGTGGATATATACACAATTTTCTCTATTTTAGTAAAATAATCTCACAATATTTAAGTTATATCACAGTTCAATGGATTATATCGATAAAAACAGTAGTTTGTCCATTCACGGCTGCATACATTTACTTAGACATATCTGAAAGTTAAAAATCCCATAACTAACAAATAATTAAGTTCTTATTCTATTAACCTGCCTCTACTCAAGAAGGGAAACTAGTATTCTTTCTACTTATTTCTTCATTGTAAGCAGACTCATTCGTCCCTTTTCTGCATGTTTTTGGCGGTAGTCCGCTTTTATAAGGAATTCTACCGTATTGACGTGAAGATCTACACAAAGAAGAGTGTTTACAACAACAAATCAGTTCAAACGTCCTTCGTATTCAACCGAAATCAAGACTAAAATAGTTTATGTAAAAGGAATCGATTGTCACACAGAGAATCATTAGGTGCTCCGTTTTTTTCTAAAAACACCTCAGACATTCGAAATTCTGATGATGTCATATTTATGACGTGGATTACCACATCTTATCTACGCGCTCCTTCCCAACAACACTAATCCAAAAATGCCACTTTTCTTTGTTTTCGCAAACGGAATATATTCATGAAAATAAAACAAATACTCAAACTTAAATAGTGCATAAGTATCGCCTTTCTACGTCAAAGCTGATAGGGTACAAATCAATTGACATTTTAAATGGAAATACAGCAATTCGATTATAGCGCAGGATTTTAGCCTTTTTTATGACTTTGGCATCCTTTTCCTCGACAAAATCGAATTCCTATGAACTCTCGCATATTTTCCGTCATTTGAGCCACTACGACTGTCAAAACACAAGAATCAGTCACTAGGATTTCCCGTGTGATTCATACTAGGAATTGGTCAGTTTCGAAACTCCCTGTGCAACACTAAATCCTGTGCGTTTTGACAGTCGTAGTGGTCTAAATGACGGAAAAAATATGAGAGCTCATGGAAATTCGATATTGTCGAGGAAAACGATGTCAAAGTCATAAAAAAGGCTAAAACTCTACCAAAAAAATTACTCTGTATGCATTTAGAAATTATGCCAGTTGATTTGTACCAGATCAAATATTCGGAAGAAACACGATTTTAATGCATCATTTTTGTTTTCTTTTTCTTTTTGATTTGGTTCTTTTATAGTATCTTTAAAGCAGACTAAAAAACAGTACTTTTGAGATCTTGAAAAACTTAAGGTTTCAATTTACTCTTTGTACGAGAAAGTTTTCCGATCCTGGTCCTCTTAAACTCGAAAAAAGCGCAAATGTCGACGTTCGACTATCAACGATGTCGATATTGCACAACCTTTTTTGCTCGATAATTGTTACTCATGGCTACTTCATTTAAATAGGGGTTTAGCCTAAAAGTCGGGTATAAACTAGTGGTGACTCCATGGAATTATTCAGCTTTGTTCATTGAGATATTCGTCGCAAAGTAAATTTGACCTGAAATCAATTATACATTGATTTTTACCGCTCGAGGTATACAAAAAATTCTTTGCACATGCATATGTATATAATTTACTGCATACAGTCGTATTTCCTGAGGTTTTTAACAAAACAAAAGTAAAGTAAAATATTATACTTTCAAATTGAATTTGTAAAAATCTAAATACACGAAGTTTTGGAATAAAAAGTTAAAAGCTTTTTATTGAAAACAAAATACACAATGTATTTATTATGTTCTTTATTGTACGAAAAAGATGACAATTTGTAATATACACCCATATAATAGATTATAACATGTAGTGGAAAGAATATTTCGCGTTGAATGCGTATTCTAATGAGCAAAAGTTATTGAAAATTTTTGCTCAAGCAACTGATTCGCTTTCGGATAAAATCGTTCGTAGAATTGCTTAAATACTTTATCTTTATCTTCTGTTGATAATTCGGTGTAATGTCGATATTGTTTTATCATTTCATTGAAGCTCAAATTGTACAAATCGAGTATTTTTTCTATTTCGAATGCTGTTGGTCGCTGCTTTGGATCGGTAACAATACATCGAGCGATAAGATTCCAGAATATTGGACTCTGTTTTTTTATAATCGGTTTTCTGTTCAACTGGTCATAGTCATGCATAATTCCTGTGAACAGATGATTTAATGTCAATCCAAATGTGAAAATGTCTAATTTTTGATCATAAACTCCTGTATAAAATTCTAGCGGCATATATTCTTTACAACCCATCACGGTATGATGCATATCAGAACTTAGGACTCGAGCGATTCCCATATCACCAATTTTGGCTGTGTAATCATGGGAAACGAGAATGTTATCGGGACGAATATCTCGATGAATCATTCGATGCTCATGAATTTTACGCATACCACTAGCCACATTGACAGCCATTGTTAATTTTCGTCGCCATGATAGTTTATCTTTCTGTGTGATGATCGATGTTAAACTTCCGCGCGACATATATTCGAAAATAAGCATGTATTTAGTGCCTCTTGATGCCGGTTTCGTTGAATAACCAAAGATTTTAAGAATATAAGCACCCGATAATTCTTTATAAGCGTGCAGCTCCTTCATGAAACTTTTCAATTTTACAGAAGCATCGTCTGACGATGGAACAATTAAAACTTTACATGCTACAGTACGATTTTTTGACAGCCACTTAGATTCATACACGGATCCTTGAATAAAACGTGCTGGTGATAGCTTGAATTAGGGGTGCATCGGAATCGGTATACCGAATACCAAAAAAATCGAATACATCAAAAAAATTTCATTCATGACACTTTATTTACGTAATAACTATAAATGGCTGCCATTAGAATCGACGTACTCTTATAGGTTTACTAGTATCCTTTACAAAAGAAGATCTATCCTAGTGGAACTTCTTGTGTCCAAGTTCTTGGGTTAAGAATTGTTACAAGATCTTGGAAAAAAACATCAAGAAGTCAAGAACTTGGCTTTTTCAATCTTCCACTTGAGGTTTCGGTTAAGATCTTGAATCATCGTTTTGTTTTACACTGTTGTATAAATCACACACACTTAAGTGAGAAATTTTCTTCGCATTTTATTTTCATTTATGACAGCCATAGCCATCAAATATACGACCATATAGAATCATAGAAAGAAAAGTCAAAGTTATTCTAGATGTAAAAATATTCGCTCTTATATTTACACAAGAATGTAAAACAAACGATGATTCAAGAATTTAAGATGTTGGGTTCTTGAAATTTCTTTAATTTCTTACGTTTTCTTATCAAGATGAATTTTTACTAGGGTAGCTTTTATACAAGAAAGTTGGATTATTACCTTCCAAGATTATCTTATACACTAGTGTATAGGATAATCTTGAAAGGTAATTAATTAATAACTAGCTAGTCGACTTTCTTGTGCTATTCCTTGCACGGTTCTTGTCTCTTACCATTTCAGACAAGAGTCTTCAAATTTGTCTTGATCGATCAGACAAGATTCTTCTTTTAATCTTTTTTTTATAGATTTTTCATCTTTTTTTATGAAAAATTCTTGTCTGAATTTGGTAAGATTAGTTGACGACAAAATCACCAATTTATTTTGTCGATTCCCGTGCTATATATAAGTTATGTAAAATAACCCAATATTATGCATAGATGTCTGTAAAAAATCTTTTCACACAATCTCACAAGATTCTTGTCATCGAGTCTTTATATGCAGGGACGCCGCGACAACAGGAGTAGCGAGGAGGATTTCCCTCCCAGCTTTTTTGAGATTTTTTACTCCCAAATTCCATAAGTTTTTGCTCTGGAATTTAGATCAGTAATCAGCACTATCTGAGGTATGCTAATGAAGACAGCAGCATGTGAAAATGAAGAGGGAAAACTCTAAGGTCTGTCATGATGCTGAGCAATCATTGATCACTTATTAAAATACTCTCGGTTTAAGAGTAAACCCCAACATGTTTTCTCTTTTTTTTTTTTACAAGAGAATCCGCCACAATTCACATTTTGAATTCTTCTCACCGTCATTTGGGCCACTACGACTGTCAAAAAACAAGTATCAGTCACTAGGATTTCCCGTGTGATTCAAACTGGAAATTGGTCAGTTTCGAAACTCCCTGTGCAACACTAATATCTGTGTGTTTTGACAGTCGTAGATAACTTGGTCGATGTATGTAAGACTACAGATTAGATCAGAGGGATGTCAGAGTTCCTGCAATTCAGCTATTCTACAGAATTCGACGTTAGCATAGATATACTTTTTATTCGCCAAGTTTGAGTTAAGCGGAAATGTTTAGAATTCTATAGAATTTTACGTTACTACAGACATAGTTAATTAGTGGCTCACTATCATGCTCTGCACGCCAGCATTTCC